CTAATTTGGAAATTAATTGCTAGACTAATGGTACACAAAGTCTAGATAAAATTTAATTTGCTGAAAGAATGATCATCCTAGAGAAATAACTCAAACACTGCTTGTGTATACAGGTTTATGTGTAAGTATATTTATTTTGCATGTTTTTGCCATTTACAGTTAATTAAAAATGTGAAATAAAGGAGTTTTTTTCCTAAATGTTAAGTATTTGTTTATTTATAATTGTCAATTTACTGAAAGTATCTCTTTTAGGATTAATTTGAAAAATAATTAATAGATTAAAGAATACAAAATATCTTTTCTGTCAAAAAATCTTTTCTGTTTGTTAGGTGCAGGTATGATTATTTTTAATGGTGATGTGTATATCAGTACAGAGTGAAGTTTGTTCCATTATTTTTGCAAAATAAGAACACATTTTGTAAATTGAAATTTGAAAAAAATAAAAAATAAAAAAATAAAGAAATGAAACATTGAAACCAGAAAACATTTTAACATAACAAAAAAGGTTGAAGCTTGTAGTTTTGTCATATTTACTTTCATATTATATATTACTTTATTTTTTCAATTTTTTCACATTTTATTCATGCAATTTTTTTCACTTTCTGTTTTTCAGATTTCTTAAGAAATTGCATTTTTTTTTTTTTTTTTTTTGTGTTTTCCAGATCAGATTCTCTTCTCTGGGGGCGGGCTTTCCACTAGAGTAAGGAGTGAGGACACATTTCTATTGGTCTGTATTAATTTCAGCTACAACATTTCTATTGGTCAAAAGCAATGTGTGTATTACGCTTAAAGTGAAGAGAAGGTTATCTGTGAAACACACAGAAAAGCAAAATACAGGCAACATGTAAAAAAAAAATATATATATGAAAAACCAAAATTTGAAAAATCAAAATACCGTAGAAAAAGTTAACTCTTAAATAAATTTTGAAAAAAAAAACAAACAATTTGAGCAAATTAAATATGTGAAATTAATTTTAAAAAAAAAATCTGAAAATGTTTTCAAAGTTTGCTTTCTGGATTGAACTTTTATTGTTTTAGTTATTTTCTTGCAACAATGATGGAATCAAATTCAATCCATTCTTTCTTTTGCAGAAATCATCAGTATTTAATATTCATAATCTAACTGATGTCATGGTCTTGGTTCTGTTAAGTTTTCTTTTGAGTATTCAGTTTCACTTTGATCCATGTTTTTCTTCGTTTTCTAGTTTTATTGGTTTAATTCTTATTTTGTTGTGTTTTCTGGATATATTTGAGTTCTGACGCTTTTCTTGGTCGCCCTCTGTTGCCCTCTTGTGTTGGTCTCCTTTTCTCTAGCTCCCCTCTAGAATTCTCTGCTCACACCTGCTCCCAATCAGCTCATTAGTCCTGTCTTTGTTCAGTCTCCCATACAGTATATACTAGTTCCTCATCTTTTCTCGGCTCCCCAAGTTAGTTTTTGCCTTGAAGTTGACTAGTTTTTGGTTCCATGTATTTCGTACCTTGGTTTTTGGATTTTTTTGCCTCAGTTGTTCAATTAAATCTTCAAAAACTCACCTTGGCCTCCTCGCCTCTGCATTTTGGTCCTCAAAATCCCAACCAAACCCTGACGACTGATCTCGACAATATAAGAAAAGACCATCTGGGGGCCTAGTGTTGCTTTTAATTTCTCTTTTTTTGATAGATTTTTACAAAATGTTTTTTTTTTTCAGATCAGTCTTTTCATCTCTAGGGTCGGGTTTTCCTTTGGTGTGATGAGTGAAGACACATTTCTATTGGTCTGCATTAACTTTAGCAAAAACATTTTTATTGGTTGTCAGTGTTTTTTATGGGGTTTAAAGAGGGGAAAATGTAATATTTGCAATTCAATAGAAAATAGAAAAGAATGGAATCTGTTAAATTTAATCTGGAAAAAAAAATTTTGAAAAAGAAAATAGAAGATAAAATGTTAATAGATGAAAATGTAAACAATTGATAAAACAAAAGATATACAAAATAAATTTGAAAAACATCACATAACAAAACCTTTTTTTTTAATCAAACGTCTTTTAAAGTTTAATTTCTTAACTTATTATTTTTTTAAATATTCCACTAGAAACCATTTTTTTCTACTTGCAGCAATAATGGAACAAAATTAACTCCATAATATTCCCCATAAATATAAAAAGTAAGTGGTCAGCTGCTACTTTAAATTCCTCTAAAAGGACAAATTTGTCTTGCAGTTAACTAGATCCACCCTGTGGCTAAACAAACAAGACGGCAGCACTCAGGCAATGACAAGGAAGGCATTATGGATGCAAGCAGCTTTTTAAAAACTCAAGCATGCAGCTTGAAAAAGGCCATTTAAGTGAAACAACCAGAGAGGGGAGTGAAGTAGGGAGATATGATAGCGCTGCTAGAATAGAACAGATCCACTTGTTCCAGACGGTAACAAGACGTTCTTCTAATTACGCTGCAGAACTTCAGTCACTCAAGGACTTTCAGTGGAGATTTAAAAAGCATTCCCCTTATAAGAACGGCTGTCAGCTGAGGGGATATCTAGATGACAACAAAAGCACCATAAGGAGATTTCCTTTCACAAGCTACTTCTAACAGTTAAGCTCACCAGCTTTAAGGTAAAACTAATGGAAAACTTGATCCTCCTTAAACCTGGACTTCCCAGTTTGGTGTAAAATTCTCTGGTCAGTAGTTTCCAGTCAGATGAGCTCCACCCTAACAGTACTGTTTTCCATCCTGAATGAAACGACTCAGTTGTGACGTCACAGAGAAAACACATGAGATTAAACATGCAAAAACTCAAACAACCAGAGATCTCATTTGGCTCCATCTGGCCTTAGCAGTACTGCCCTCAATGTAATTGACAGAAAACAGACATATGTATTGTGTTTTTGATGGCTGACATGGCTAAGCTGGTCTGTTTAAACTGCAGCTCGGTGCATTAGATAAACACACCCGCTGATGTTTTGGTTTACCTGATATTTATGCAAAACAACAGCAACCCCACAACCCTCCACTATCTGTGTTTATTACATCCAAAAAGACAGAAAAAGTTACCTTTCTATTTATTTTGAGCTGTTTATACTGTAGATATGTTCATGTGGTGTTCCTCAAGGCTCCTTTCTCAGGTCCCCTTTATTTAGGCAAGCAGTTATCACAGGAGTTTTAAATTAAACATGATTTTAAAACAGCAAAAAGTGTCTGGAGATTTTTTGGTGTTAAGAATAATGGAAATCTACCTCCTCTAACCATGTTGGTTGGCTAAAATAAACAAAAAACTTTTAGTGTTAATGGTTAATTTTTTTTTTTTTAGTTTTTGCGGCACTAGTGGCTCGTTTTTTGACAGTAGGCTGACAGGAAAGAGGTAATCAGAGAGGGGGAGAAAAATGCTTAAGACAAATAAATAACTGATTATTCGTGTGTTATTGAGATGAAGGGATTAGCCAATTGCTTTTCTCTTTAAAAAACAGCAATTCGATCAGTTTTCCTTTTCTATTTATTTATTATTTTGTATACTGGACAATGTAATGGCTAAATTTACATAAAATTTTAATAAAAAATACAACAATGCAGCAGCTAATACAGCGTATTTTGCTGTCAAGGTCATTACATGTAGCTGGACATAATGTAGATTTAGGTCCTAAAGGCTGTTCTGGGGCAGCTTTTACTCCTCATGCTCAGACTATAGACAATTTCAGCCTCTCTTACGATATGCTGATGACACAACTTTCTATTTGTGCCACCTCATGACCCCCAGTTTTTTATAGTGTCTGACTAACTATATCCATTATATCAGTACATATGGGTCAGAATTTCCTCCAGCTTTAAATAAGAAAGAAGTTGTTATTGTTTAATTAGGCTACTTGCATTTTAAAACCAGAGTTTAGTCCATTGTTTTATTTTTTGTGTTTTATTCCATTTTGTGAGGCACAATAAATTGCTTTGCATATGAATGCTTTCCTAATAAACATGTTTTTAGTGTATAGATTATATTAACATTAAGTCATAGGTACAGTTCCGACAGCGCCAAAATCCTTTTATGGAGGACCAGAGGGGACATGTTAAACTTAGCATTTAAATAATAGATTTTTGAAAAGTGTTTGGTAACTGCAAATTTTAAATGAAATTAATAAAAATTAATTGTAAACTGTATTTGTGAATCCATTACTAAATACTGCAATTTCAATGTTTTTTTTTTTTATTTCCACCAAAATGGATATAAAAAAAAAAAAACACAATACATGAATCTGATTAAGTTCTATATGTATCAAAAATTATAAATGGTAATTTGTTCTCTTTTCAACATTAATACAAGATAGTATCAATTCCTCATCCAGAATTAAAAAATAAAACATCTAAAACCATGCAGGCCACGTTTGCTTAAGTAAATAAGCTTAAGCTTAGACTAATCAAAGTTCTACATGTATCAAAAATTATAAATGGTAATTTGTTTTTCCTTTCTCATATTGTTTTTCACCTCAGATATTCAAATGTATTTTGCAAATTTTGTATTTTAATTTACCCTCTAATTTCTTTGACCAAACAACAGCTTATTAAAAAGTTTAGATAAGCTTACAACCTGTTTAGTAACCATTTATTAACAGTTTGGTAAACAGTTATTAACACTTAATTAACAGTTATTACCAGTTAATTAACAGTAACAGCTAATTACGGTATTCATGACAGCTTATTAACAAGTAAAGAGTGTAAAATTTAAAAAAATTAAATTGCAAAGTGAAAAAGAGAAATGGAAATAGAAAAACATAGTCAGGTTTGCTTTTAAATTGCCATTTCAAAATAGAATGTGACATTTTCAAATTGTAGTATTTAATAATGGATTGATACAATTTACAGTTGCACTTTAATTATCGATGTAAAATGTGCAGTTACAAAACACTTTTCAGAATTAAATTTCAATTTTCTGATTTAAATGTTAAATTTGAAGCAGTTCCATTTTTTTTTTCCACTGACTCTCCTGGTCCTCCATAATATTTTGCATTTATATGTTTTATTTTTATTTTACTTACCTCCGTGTCTTGCTCCAGAGTCAATTATTGGCGTGCCGCCAGCAAACAGCAATATGAATGGAGAAAATATGTCAAATAATCCCGTCTGTGCCTAATATTAAGGCAGTTTCACGGTGGAGGAACCAGTTAATATTTGCTATCCGTCACATAGACCTATGTGGCTGAACAGTAAACATCATCGATATCAACGCTGGAAATCATAACAAAGCTCTTCTGTCGCTGACAGCCGCCTAATCTGAAACAACTGGAAAATATTCTGCCTCTACGACCCCCAAAAATAACACCTGTCCTCCCCTTTCAGTCGCTACAAAACATGAAATAAGGACCGCTGCTTCCTGAGCTCATCGGGCTCATCAGACGCTCTGGGCTGATGACGCAAACACGTCGACATGAGAAACGTGACGGATAGCCAATCACTGGCGTTCAAACCAAAGCTTCTTTACCTTTAGCCAATCGCGACGCGGGAAGAAGCTGACGGACATGTATGTTGACCAATGAGAGGATCTGCACCGCCTACACAACGGCACAGGTTTATTCAGCTAGCAGGCAGAGTTCTAAAGAATATGCTATACTACCTTCAGTTGTGAGCGTTGTTACATCATTTTGGGTTTTTTTGGTTTGTGCGGACCCCTGCTAAAAATAGCTAATGGGGCGTCATTGTGTGAAACTTAGATAAACCAAATGAAAAAGGGTTCCTTTGTTCCCCATTGCAAAAAAAAGTATTTCCCCCCATTAAATAATACTATATTTATACGTTTATTATCAAATCCAATGTAATAAGAAACCAAAGTAAATGTAGAATAATACGTTTTTACATGAGTATTTAATCTTTTATGGAAAGTTTAAAAAATAGATACTGATATCATGAATAAGGTATGTCTTACAGATTAAAAATCTAAAATAATCAGTATATAAAGAGTTTTAAAGCCGTCTTTAAGGTTTGGGGGTCCATTAAACCACAGTGAGAACATATTTACACAAACAGAGACTCTATGGTACATTTGTGAACCTTCTCTTTTCAACATTAATACAAGATAGTATCAATTCCTCATCCAGGATTAAAGATAAAACATCTAAAACCATGCAGGCCATATTTGCTTAAGTAAATAAGCTTAAGCTTAAGCTTAGACTAATCAACTCAACATATTTTAAATTTCCCTCCTGAATTTGGGGTTACATACATATGTATGCAAAACTTTTGGGAGAATATTTCCCTTGACCACAAAATGTGTATCTGAAATAAAATTCACAGAGTATTTAATAAAAAAAAAGCAACAAAGAGATAAATATGGTAGCAGAGTGGCGGTCTTGGGTTGCTTTACAGCTCAGGGTGAGCTGGTACAAACGTAGACCCATAAATGTTGCTCTAAACCGAACTAAAATACAACTTCAACTCATCATGCATGCTAAGATATTTCAATATAATGTATATAAAAAGATTCTGCAAAGAAGAGTGGGCGAAAATAGTCATAATTCCATCGGTAAAATTGATCAAATTTGACACATTTGTCTGATATCAAAGTTTGTTCAATCTAGTGTTAAAATCTAGAAATAAACAATTAATAAAGGTCAAGTTTTATTAAAAGTGCCCTACAATCAGTGTTAAGTTGCAGATGACTCCTGCACAAAAGTGAAAGTAAGACAGTTATATCTGTTTGAAGCCTTGGAAGTATTAACCTGGGCAATAAAACCATAAACCATGATAAGAAACTTCTAACTACAAATTTGTTATCCGGTTTTTAAACAAGAATATGAAAATTAAGGCTCAAGCCTAAAGGGAACCAGCTTAATTCCTCTTTAAGCCTTATGGGAGATCAGCTAATTTTTATTTTCTATATTTCCCTGTGAAAACATCCCAAAGGGTTTTTAGAACAGAGCAAATAATTTGTTTACTCCTGGGAGTTGCAGATAACATAACCGTAACAGTTCAGTTCTGTTGACCCAAACAGAGCCTATAGCAGTGAGGAGTGGACGTTAACGTCTCCCTGTTGTAAATCTCCTTACTTGGATGTTTCCTGGCCTTTTACTGTTATGCCTGTGATGTCAGCCGGCGGGGGAAAAAAAGGTGGGTGTGCCCTGCTAACACGTCTGGGTGTGGTGGACAGCAGACAAGGCTGTTTTTGTGTTTCTTGCATCAATGGGGCCCACAGAGCCGTGACTCGACACCTATATTTAGATTTGGCCTGTAAATTTCACCGGCCTGCAAGTTCATTTTTAAATGGATGCAAATTAAAACCATGATATTCAATAGGAAATGTATTAAAATTTTGATTTTTTTTCTCCACGTTTAATAATGAAGAAATTAAAAATAAATGTATTCAGTTGCATTTGAGTAAATGTAAAAAGAAAAACTACTTTAAATTCAATTCAGTGTATTTATGGTAAATGGCCTGCACTCATTCACGCACACTCTGATGGTGGCGAGCTAAATCGTAGCCACAGCTGCCATGGGGCTCACTGACAGAAGCGAGGCTGCCGTACGCTGGGGCCTCCGGGCCCTTTGACCACCATGTAAAGTGTCTTGAGATTCACATTTTGTCGAAGGGTTGAACCTTCAACCTTTTGATTTCAGGGCAAACTCCTACACCCGATGCCACTGTCGCCCTATATTATATTTATTTAGCACCAATTCACAAAATGTGAATCTCAAGGCACTTTACAGAGAAAATTCAACTGTACATTTTACTTTAACTTCGTCAATATTCTGGTCAGAGTATTGCTTTTCTTATTCGAGTAAGTTTTCTGCGCTTTCGACCTACCAGGAGTAACATGAGCTACTTGAAGATCAGAGAAAAAACAAAAAACTTGGTTTTAGGAAGCTACCTAGCTTGCACAGTATTTATATTGACTTTTCTTTTACTGTGATTTATTCAGTCTAATTTAAATGTGTTTTTACTGCACCAGTGGCTTGTTTTTTTGAGAGTAGGGTGACAGGAAAGGGGGAGATACATGTGGCAAAAGATCACAGGTCGAATTCGAACCCGGGTTGGCCGCATCGAGGACTAAGGCCTCTATACATGGACCGTGCAAACTAACCACTGCACCACCTGCACGCCCTTAAATGTGTTTTTTAAAAACACATTTAACAATAGTGGTTAGAGCAGAGTGCTTGTGCTCTGAGAAGGTCACAAAGTACCCAGTTACATCCCCATAGCCTGCACTCTGGTTCCCTGAGCAAAACCTTTGACGCCACACCGCTCCCTGGGCGCTGCACAATGGCAGCCCACTGTTCCCAAAATGTAAATACCAAATCAGAGTGAATTTTGCTTTGTACTTCTGACAGTATAATGACAAAGTTGAATTCTATTCTATTCTGGATTTAGTTTTGCGGCCCAAGGCGAAGGAAGGCGTAGGGCCCTCTGAAAGGAGACAACACACAAAGCAGATAGACGTTTTATCAGAATGCACATTTAGAATGCGTTATTTGTTTACCTTTTGTCCTTTTTTCACTTTCGTTTTCTTCTCCCTTTTGTCTTATTTCTTCCTGTCTAGCCTCATCTTTGCACTCTGTTTTGTCTTCTAATTGTGTTCAATGCAGTTATCAAAAGTAAAATAAATAAAAAATTTGTTTGTAATATTTCTAATATATTGTTTCTTAATTTTTTTTCTCTCCTAATAAAACTTCTATTTCATATTTTTTCCTACATGTTTTAAACCTTTATTTTCCTCACAATTGTCACTTTTTCCTGTATTCGCAGTTTGTTTTCATGTGTTTTGCTGCTGCTCTCCAGTATCCTTTGTGCACATGCTCAGTGGAATGGTTTGATCCAACAAAGTGGCGACTGAAGGCAGGATCCAGAGACACATATAAAACAATTAGCATTCTGATGGTATTTTTTTAAAAACCAAAACATAAGGTGGGAAAATAAATATTGTATTAGCCACATATGTTTGAGGAGCTTTTTGGGGCCTCATCTTGCAACTGAAAATTTCTAAGTTGAGGGGAAATAAATAATCTATTTTATTCTTAATCCAAACTTTACGGAATATATTACCTTTTTCTTTTTTTCAAAACAACATTTTTTTTTTATAAATCTGTGTGCACTTGTTAACCTCATCTATAACGAATAGGTCTAATACGTCAGGTCATTTAAGCCCGTAACAAGGGGTTGGATTTTATTTAGAAATATTTTAAATATCAAAACACATTTAATAAGTAAGAAGGTTCAATGATGCAGAAAGTTTTCAAACTTTTATCTGCATTATCAGGAGTAACACAGTAGATATAGACAGAGATAAATGAAATCAATTAAAGAAACACACCCCTGTACCCGTCTGTCACATATTTACAAAAGAGACGGAAGTTTCAACATTTCTATCAACACGTAACATATGTAAAAAAAACAAAAAAAAACAATACAGGTCAAAATATAATCCAGACGAATGAAGCATCCTCAGTGAACCGGCTTATTGTCTACAAACAGCGGCGGATCAGGACTCGGCCGGCGCCGGCTGGGTCAGTGCTCCATTCCGGGTACGTAGCTGCGACTGGGCGATGTCGGCCAGAGCGTTCTGGATCTTCTCCAGCAGCATGTCGCCACGGTAAACCACCTCCTCCAGGCGTGCCGCCGCTTCGTGGTTCTCCTCCTCCAACTGCCGGAGGCTGGCCGCCTGAGGAGAGGTTGATGACATTTTCATTTTCTGATGAGTTTAAATCGACACAAAGCAGCACATAACGGAAGTAAAAATATAAGTAAGCAATTTTCTTCCTGAAATATGTGTATTTTTCATTTATTTGAGCAGGTAAGACGTAACAACAACATGATTTGTGTTTAAAATAAGAAAATAAAATCTCGAGATTTTCTTATTTTAAGTTTGGAATATTTAATTATGTTATTTTAAGGGGAAAAATACTAATTCAACTGGCAGATCTACTTTTATACACCTACTTAAATTAATGGAAATTCACAGATTTAAAGATTTTTTTTTTTACTTATATTAGTTAAGTATTTCTAGTGCAGAACAGCTGCATTAATATCTAAAGGGGTTAAATACAAATGCATGCCACAAATTTCAGATATATATCAGCTGTTGTTTCCCTCCAATGATGCATTTGTTCTCTAATCTATAAAAATTATTATAGGATTATTGAAACAAACAAACAAACAATATATATATATATATATATGTATGTATAAACATTTTGCATTTAGGATTGAAAAAAATGTTTTGTCCATCAATATTCTGTATCCCAAACTTCTCAAGTGAAAGGTTTTAGTTTCACCTGGTTTAATTTTGTCTTTCTTAAGGAATCTTTGGCTTTCAGAATATTAATCGAAAAAACTAATCAACAGATTAATTAGCACATTAATCAATAGGCAGGCCTAGTATCTGTACCACATTACTCCAGCAGAGAGGCTTATCTGGAATCTTTTATTTATTTATTTATTTATTTTGTCTAGCCCCCAGTTTGTAACTTATTTTACATGAAAGAAGCTAAAAATAAAATAGAATTAGCTAAAAAATACTAAAAACAAATTAAAAAAAAACTTTAAAATCAGAAGTCCAAACTAAATAAATCAATATTTCAAAATTACTTGAACAAGGGCTGTAACTAAGGATTATTTGCTAATTGATTAATAATCGAATAGCAAAACATTCTTCAAGACGATATTTTAAAGATTTAAACCAAGTCAAACTAAATCGTTTCCACAAAAGGATTTCTGGAAATCGTATATACTTATGGGCGGAAAAGTTTTTTTTTTTTTAATCTTAAATGTAAAATGTTTACATATTTTTTTTTTTTTACAATTTTGTATAATTACTCCTTACTACTTAAATAGGTGACTCTGTCAACTTAAATCCTGTTTTAGAGTCTCTATACTCCAATTAATCGATTATTAAATTAACTGATGATTATTTAAATGATGGATTAATCCGATTAATAGTTTCAGCCCTAATTTGAACCTTGGTTCTAACCACAGCATGTAGAAAATCCCAAGGGTGTGAAAACTTTTGCATGTTCATGACTAATCTATGAAACAGATTTAAAGGATTCAATGTTGGAAACTTTCTAGAACCCAGAAAAAGAAATCTGCCTTCCAGGAAGTAAAAGCCTGAAGCAGAGCCCCTGCATATTTGGAGCATGAAACTCACTCGATTCTTTTAGCTTTTCCCAAACAGTCATTCCAGAAATATACTTATGAAGCACACGCTCACATGACTGGCATTATTTTTACCCTGTAATCCTGGAAGGGCTTGTTTGTGTTGGATCTCATATATCATCTGCTTCTCAAAAAGAAAGCTGATTCAATCCACAACCGGTAAAGAAAACCAAAGGCTAATAAAGGGCAGATGGTCAATTTACAGAACAAACAGCAGCAGAGGCGCAAATGATTTACGAACCATTCAGCCGCCATAATCACTGGAGTTAGTGATTAATCTACACAGCTACCTCATAAAAAAAGTGGTTACTGCTTTAAAATAAGAACATTTTTCAGATCGACTAAAGGATAAAAGCTACAACGACAGTGAAGACGGGTTATAAAAATGAAGCTTAAAAATCCTCTTATGAATCCTTCAGCCACCAGTGCAGAGCTTGATCCATGAGGATATTTGCATACAAACTAAGAATAAGATGATAAGTTAGGATTAAGGTGATATATGTCTGACGAGAGATCGGCAAGGACACCCTCAAAGACAACCAAGAGTTAAGTTCTGCAGATAACGATGGTAATAAAAAAAAAAAAACTGAACATGATGCTTTGACTGAATTAAATAAATATGGGTTTTTAGGGGCGTTAAAAGAGGTCAGGTTTTCCTACTTGTTCATTCTCCCAACAATCCAGACACAATAAAGTGATAGTTTCCATTGAGGTCACTAGAGATGGACCGATACATCAGCTGGTCGATATTAGAATGTTTGTCTTTTATCGGTACCTGCTGATAAAAGATTCTTGTTTAATGTGTTAAAAATGCTTTATTTTTGTCTAAAATTAGACTTCTAGAAGATTTATCATCATTGTGTCGTTTTTAACATTAAAATGGAGGAAAAAAAAGTGATCCGTACCATTTATCTGGGGTCAGTCAGGGGTCACCAACATTTTAAGGCTGAGGGCTACTTCATGGGTCAAAGGAAGGGCTACCAATAATGACTTTTGAGCTGGAGGGGAAAGCCTTCAACGAAACTTTATACATAAAAATATTTTTATTGTTTCTTTTCATTTCTAATTTTCTTTTATATATTGTCATTTTAAAATACTCTATAAATAGATTTGCCCACTGGTGATTTATTGTGTGTTCAGAAGACGCTGAGGGCACCCCATGTGGTCCTTGGGGGCCCTTAGGTGCCTGCAGGCACCGCGTTGGCGACTCCTGCATAATATAATCTGCATCAGACTTAAAATAACAAATGTATGTTTAAAATAAGAAAATGAAATCTCAAAATGTTCTTATTTTATAATATAATCTGCATCAGACTTAAAATAAAAACAAAACTAAACATTTTGACTAGGATATTGATACCAAGGAAGGTATTTAATATTTAAAACCCTTACATGTCAACATGGAGCCTCCTTTGTCAACAGAGATTGGATAAATGTGCAAATAAATGCAAACTAAATAACCCAAATATAATAAAGTGACTTCATTTTAGCTGGTGTGAGTTGCTATTCTTTTTCATGGGAAAATAATCCAGAAATCTAAAATTACCAAAAGCAAAATATCAAACGCATCTTTGGAATGGATATTTTTGATAACCCTAGTTTATTTATTTATTTATTTTTTGCAGCATCTCTAAGTTATTAACTTTCATGTCTCATCCACAGGACGCATGTCGAGCCTCATACTGCAACAACAAGGCTGCTGTCCACCATTACAATGGTTTTATATGACAGGCTATATCCTCCCAAGGGTTAAAGAACAGCAGCTAAATTAATTCATGCTTTTCCGATGTTTCAACGTCATTCTTTGTTGATTTGTTTGCAGACAGGTAATAGGTTAAACTTTCTAAAGAACTGGCTTCAACATCACAGAAACTGCACAGGTCTAAACCCTGCTGAGAACCTGCAGTTAGAGAAACAATGCGTCAAAAAAGGGATTCAGTCAAAGTACGGTTTAGGCAGAAATGAGACCCAGAAATCAGGTTACAACAGTGAACCACAGGGGCTATAAAGAACAAAAGTTAACACTGTGAATACTTATACAATATGTTATAACTCTATATTTTTTTAAGCTCTAATTAAAACAAAAAAACAAAACAAAAACAAAAAACACCACAAATATAAGATATTTTGTAATCTGGAGAAGATTTTCAGAAAATACAAACAGAACAGGGAGGAGTTTTCTGATGGGAAACGGCTCCACCTGCTGGCCTAGAGCTGCAAAAACTCATATTAAGCCTTTTTAGATCCAGTCAACTGAAATATTCTAATGATTTTTCATAAAAAGCTGAATATTAGATTTTTGTAGAGATTCTCCTCTCAGATACCTTTAGTGAAATCTCCAACCACCACCCCCCCCCTGCCACGCCCCTTTCCCAATTATTAAGAAAAAGTAACTAAAAAAGAGGAAAAATAGACAAAAGAATGATACATATGAAAGGGGCAGCGATGGTGGTACAGACTTAAATTGTTTGGTGGGAAAAATTAAGTAAAAAGGAACTACATGGATGAAAACAGCTTATGTTCTTTAAACATTTATATGCTAATAAAAAATGCATAATAAAGCTGATCTATTTCATCTTCTAGTGGCTAAATTAACGCTGCAGGGCCATAATCCAACGCATTTACTCTACAATTTACCATCTATATCTGGAAATGTAACTTTCATCATCTAAAACATGTGAGCAAACTGGGGAAGGTTTCTGACCTGCAGAGCTGCCGTGGACTCCTCACTGGGCAGAGAGTCGATCAGGACGTCCACATCTTTGGCTGTTCGGGCTATAAGGGCGGCAAACAGCTGAGCATATTCTGAGACAAAGAGGAAGAACAGCCTCCATTTTAGATTTAAAAAAGATGCTCAATGAAATAGCTTATCATGTTTTTTTTAAACAATCAGCTACAAATATTGTATTTTTGAACAAGGGTAGCCAGAATTGTGAAGCAGAAGGAAAATTTTACATAGTTTTATACATGCATGTCAGTCTAAAAAGTGTGTTATGCATTTAAAGCAGCTAAAAGGCTGATGGTGAATCCTTAGGAGCTGCTCATGGGACGCTGTTAGAGGGACAGCTACTAGTTGTCTACTTTACAAAACCATCCTTTATAGAAATGTAGCGAAACATCTAGGACAAACTGAAATCCCCCAAACTACATTAATGTTTGTGAAACTGTATTCTGATAAATCTTATTTCCATTGATCCAGCTTGACTCAGATTGGTTCAAAGTTCCACAGATCCAAAAGGGAAGCATCTCCTTTAGCCAACAAGCTTAAAACCCAAACCTTCGGTGGGGTTTGCGGGCTGATCCTTGTTGATAGCCGTCTGGATGTTACTGAAAGAGGCAGGTGGGGCGCATTGTTGCAGAACACCGATGGCATTACAGAACTGATCAGCAAGCTGCAAGCAGACACAGAAACCAAGACTTCAACCCATTACTTTCCATTAAAAATCAATGCACCCAATCAACGGTACAGCAACTACAGCTCTGCTTTAACATGTCATGCCCTGCAAACAATGTTAATCTAAATAAGACATTTTCTCTTAAAATAAGTGCATTTTTCTCTTGAATTGAAGAGATATGTTACAGTTTGCCAATTAAACAAGACAATTTACATTTAAAATAAGAAAAAAACAAATGTCATTGCCTTATTTCAATGGCATATTATCTAATTATTATTATTTGACAGTATTATTATTATTATAGTAAAATACTCAAATAATAATTATTATTTTGATAGTAAAATACTCATTCCATTGGGAAATAACTTTATTTACCTACTCAAATTAAGGGTAAATACACTTAATTTAATCAAGCAATCAATCTCTTTATTTACACACAATTATGGTCCATAAACAGACCATAAATATATACTTATATCTGTTTTTGCAGTGTGGTAAAGTCGGGAGATATCTTAAATTTAAATTACAAAGTTTATATCAGCTTTGTTGTCTTTATTAAAACATTTTATTTAAAGAAAAAATGTTTAGCCCGATAGCTAGGGGACTTGGAGGAGATTAGAGACTCACAAGAGAAAAAATACCGTTTATATAATTTAATAACATAGAGCTACCATTCTATTATAATGTTAACACAAAATAAATGTAACACTATCTCAAATATAATTTCCCAAATGGGATTTTTCAGCGTACCGAATTGACTGCGTCCTGAAGTTGTGTTAGCCGATCCGCCATCTTTCCTGTAAATACAAGAAATCTCGCTGCCTTCCTCGCGAGAGTACAAATTCTCGCGGAAGTAGACGGTGTTTCGGTAGCTTTCAGTTAGCCGGATGTATCTAAAGCGGATTGTTGGGTTTATACAGGACTAAGTAACGAGCTAATGTGAATAGTTTGTGTCTGTTTCTATTTTATTGCTTGCGTTAAAGAAATGGGGCTGCAACAGAGCTTATCTGAGGATAATTTGTAGCCTATAGCTAATGACAGCCGCCAAACGTCAACAGGAAGTAAAGAGGCTAGCTAACGCTAGCGTCTTCTTGCACTTTGAGCTCTTCAGGTATGAATGTTTACTAATTTACCTATTTCCGGTGGTTTAAAATGAGCAACGATGTGTGATGTTGACTTTTATGACACCTCGTTTATGAATAGAATACACCACGAGCTTTCAGCTAAAGTTATAGTTAGGAGACTGTTCAAATAAGCTAAAAACAACAGGTGTTGCCTGGTAAAATATACCGAAATGTCTTGAATTATATCAGAAATTTTTTTGTTGTTTGCTGGTAAATGTAAATGTTGAAATATTTCAAAGTATTTACCTTCAAATAGAACAGTTCACATAATTCATTAGCCATTGAGTAATATATTTTATTTAGTTCTGATCATTTTGAACATTATAGCTTAAAGCTAATAAGGAAGCCACATTTAGTTTGTTAGAAAGGTAGATTTTCAGATCAAGACAAAAAAAGTGTTTGTGTGTGTGTGTATAAATATAAATATATATATATATATATATATATATATATATATATATATATATATATAGTTGCCATCATGCCTTTGTGTGTTTTACATCAGCCTGTGTAGCTGTTGAGGTATTAAATGAATGTTAGTATTTTAAGATCTGATGTTTATCATATTTTTAACACAAACCTTTGAGTGTTTACTGACTAAACAAGCCAGGTGATTCTATTGTTATTAAGGAAGGGATTGGTACATCAGATGCAGCTGGAAAATCAGGTCAGCAAACTGAGTGCGAGCAACTACTGAAAACTCTCACTGTTCTTTGATTATGGCTCTGGTTCTGGAGAGACTGATCTCAGCAGCAACATCATCTTTGTGGTGCCGTTTCTGAATGGACTTGGTTTCCTTTTGCTTTTACAGATTTACATCAACATTTTCTTCCCTCCACTTAATTTTCTATTTATATGCTTGAATGCAACCTTCTTAGCAATGATCTCCTTATGGAGGGTGTTTGCCATCTGGCCACAGCAGAGCTCTTTTTCCTTGCTGTTATGAAAAAGCCCAGCTTTCAGAAAAACACTTAGCCTTGAGTTTATTCACCTAGACTATAGAGATACTATTCTAATAAAAAGCAATGTTTCTGTTCTAAAAGGCTATTCTTTTATGATTATTTTTCTAATGCTTCATATACTAAACTTTTATAGCATGTATTATTTTCTGTTGTCTTCAGAATTCATTACTGGTCTCATTTAATGTTCTGATCATGACTTGTTTCCACTCAGGTATGAACTGTTCTTTAGAGAAGGTTCTGGCAGATGCCAAATCGTTAGTGGAAAGGCTCCGCAACCATGACAACGCGGCAGAGATGTTGATCGAACAGACGACGTCCCTTAACAAGCGGGTGGAGGCCATGAAGCAGGTGGGCTGAGTGAAAGTGATCAGAGATTTAAGAGCCACAAAAAGCAGACCCTGCTGACAAGATTTGTTTGCTAAGCTAATGCTTCCTCTAAGCAGATTTCTCTCTGACATTATGAGCTGTCTGTAGATTTCTGAGAACAAAAGATCACAGATTCTCTAAACCTTGGCTTCCCAAAGTGAGAGGTTGAAAGATGGGTTTTTCTATCTAGAAATGACAATGAATGAGGTAGTAGCAACATTTGTTTGTAGATTTATCTAAAACATGATTCCAATATTAATAATGCCAATAAATAGTAAAATACACAATTAAATATTTAAAAATAAAGTAAAAAATTCCAACTTAAAATATTTTTAAATAAAATATTGTAGAAGATAAATAAATGCTTAAAAAAATAATACTGTTATAGAAGAAAAATACAGTATAAAATTAATTAAACAATAAGAAAAATAAAAAAAATATTGTTAAATAAAAAATAAGTGAATTAAATGATAAAAAAATTGATAAATATAGAATAAAAACAAAAGAAAAATTAATTAAATGATAAAAAATATTAATATTGTAGACTAAAAATAAATCAAGAATGAACTGAAAAATAAATGTAGTAATAATAATAAATGAATGAACATAAAATGGGAATAAATAAAGTGAAATAAAATGAATATTTTCGACTAAAAATAAAATATTGTAGAATAAAAATGGAACAAGAATGAATTAAATGATAAAATTAAAAAAAAAATACCATAACAAAAAATACAATAAAAATTAATATAATAACTTTACTTTCTGTTTATAGATAGATAAATAGTAGAGAAATTATATAAATTTTTTTTTGGTTCCTGCTCGGTTACGTTTTTGTTTTTAATGTCACAGACTAACAATTTTGTAAACCCAATTTATTGTGATTATTAAGGGAAGAAAACCAGAATCCATAGATTAGCAAAATATTTTGTAACACAGTTTAGCAATCTGTGCATTTCTGTGATTCTTTAATAAAATTTTAAGTGGCTGACCCTAATTCATCTATTGGTGTCAGGAACTGGAGTTTAATCAGATTATTTGTAAACACTGAGGAACCCAAATATCTTTATAAAGAGAAATAAAATACAGAATCTGGAAAACCAGTCAATACTTCAGTTTGTTTTAATCTAGTGAGAAAAAAGCTTCTTTATCCTTTTATGTCTTCACAATATTTTCAGCCGAATTTAAATTGGATAAAGCATTTTATGTTTCAACAATCTCTGCCCTGCAAAATTTCCCGTCATTCAGGCTCCCATCTGCTGCTCTGTGGATTAAAATATATAGGATCAATCTCAAATGTCAGCGCTGTGGTTAAATCAATACAAAGTCATGGGTAACAGGAAGAAATGTTTTTAATTTTCTTTAACACAAACAAATCTGTTCGTCCTCCATTCTTCTTTTTGTCAGCTCATTTAAACAGATGAGCTTTTTCCAAATTTATTGTCTTTCCTGCACGACAAAGATGAACTTTTTATGTTTTCTGTTCATAAACATCCAAATATGGTGTGTCAGGTTGTACTGATTTTAAAAAAAAAGTATAAAAGACACAAAAATTTTGATTTATTTATTTATTTTTTATTCCGGTCGGCAGTACCAGGAGGAGATTGATTCACTTAACCAGGTTGCACGACATCGACCTCGTTCCAGTCTGGTCCTGGGAATCCAGCAGGAAAACCGTCAGATCAGGGAACTTCAGCAGGAAAATAAAGGTTAGTGCTTCTGTCTTGATATCATATTTACTTTTCCTTCTGTTCGCTACCATCGTAACAATAAACTGGTTGTCAACGCCTTCTCCTTCCTGCAGAGCTGCGGACGTCGTTGGAGGAACACCAGTCGGCGCTGGAGCTCATCATGACCAAATACAGGGAGCAGGTGTTCAGGCTTCTAATGTCCAGCAAGCGGGAGGACCCGGCCATCGTCACCCAGCTTAAAGAGCAGCATACCACGGTCAGAACCTGAAAACCGCTCCTACTTTACAGGGAATGGCTGCTAATTGTCTAACATGCATCTCAATCTAACTTTTCCAGGAAATGCAAGCACACATAGACAAGATAAACGAGATGGCGTCAGTGATGAGGAAGGCCATAGAGGTGGATGAGGGCCGGATATGTGAAGACGAGGAGAGGATTAAACAATTGGAAGTAAGGCTAATGCTAACTTATCAAGGCGCATCAAAA